GATCGAGGAGCGGAAATGGGGCAGCTACTACAAGGTGGACATACGCGTGTGGAAAACTGCAAGTCCGGCTACTATTGTTGATATTTTACATTGCCTTCCTCAACCGATTCATGAATCAACCAAACAGTGCATACTTGCACAGAGCAATCATTTAACCGATTCAATCGTCGCCTTCATTACATTCACAGCTTCACGTACACTACCACATCACTGATTCAGCCATGTGTGTTTGCATTACAATGCCTTAATTCGTTCATCAACCAATGAACAAAACAAGCAATCAGTGCATCTGAACGTCTTGCAACTATCCTCATGCTCTTCCTACACAATGGTCGATGTTGTCCTCACACTCGGACCACCACTCTTCTTGCTAATTAGCAAATTTTTGCACTGTGGTGGGCGACTTTGCTGTGCCTGTCCAGATCCATACCTGCATCACCATACCTACACCCGCCACTCATGTGACACTGTGTCAAATTCACCGATGTCAAAATCCATGCTTGTGCTCATGTGAATGCATGCACATTCATGTACAGTGATTTAAATGTTGTCAGAGCCCTTGCCACCATCAAACATTAATTACCAAACTCTGCACTCCTCTGAATCACTTTGTTGTATCTCTGAGCATGCCCACATACACAACATACTTGTAAAAGCCACGCTTGTCATGCGATGGCAAATTCAATAATGGCAATTTGCAGGCTTGCTCTCATGTAGATATACAATCACCAATAATATTGTATCGCTACCTAGAAAAAAGGTGGCTCCAATATGATGAACTGATTATCTCATATTGTGTACTGTGCAGGACTGCGCAAACAACGAGCAGGCAACAGAAACAACATCCTGTTCCTCCACTTGCTGCCATTGTGCCAATCTACACTTTGCACGCAATTTTTTTCTCTCTCGTTGTCTCCTCTCTTCCTTCTCCTCTTCTCGTTGTCTTTCTCAGTCTCCTCATACTAACAGTTGTGCTCTCTGCGCGTCAATGGAGTGCAGTGGTCTTGAGGAGTAAACACAAACGCGTTAGTTACTGGCCAAAATCGGCGCCATATATAAATACGGTCGCTCAATTGCTCACCCCATCCACCCAATTTCCACACCTCACACACGTGGCACGTGCGCCACTTTACATATCCGCACACACCACCAAATTGACCACAAGCTCCCATATGCGAACACATCTACATTCTACACCACACTTTTCGGCTAGTATATGCACGGGCACAGCAACCCCACCACAACATCAGCCCACTGGCACACTAACTGCCAAGGCCACGATCCGCACCATTTCCCTTGTCTCAACACCATCCCGCTGTGCTCAAACCATGCGCATCGCCACCGGCAACACTCACATGTTCATCGCACTCGCTTAAGCGAACACAATGGCAAGCCCACTCACTCATGGAATTTTGTCTCAGCTCCCACCACTGCGCTCAAGACTCGTAGTCGACTTATGGCACTCAAACTTGATATTCAGGGTGCTTATGATCGAGTCTGGCACACCGGCCTCCTTCACAAATTGATCCGCCTTCACGTCTCTGCCCCTCTTGTCGGTTGGATTGCATCGTTTCTAAGCAACCGCTCTGCTCAATTTCAAGTGGGATCTACTTTTCTCACCCCTCATCTTTTTATGGGTGTACCTCAAGGATCCCCATTGTCACCAATCCTTTTCCTGATCTATATCCAAGACTTGCTTGAAGATCTTTCTGTCATTCCGGGAGTATCTTCACAAGCATATGCAGATGACGTGTCTGTTTACTGGCGGCTCCCTCGTGATTCCTCTAGAGATGCTTTGGGACCACAGGCAGCACGCACACTGACCCATTGGGCATATTGTTGGAAAGCTACATTTGGCATCGACAAATGCAAATTCATGATCATAGGGCGTGTTCGAGCTCCTCCATACTCATTCTCTCTTGGAGGCACTCCTCTTGAGTGTGTCCCCTCGATGCGTTATCTGGGCGTTATGGTGGACTCAAAGTTATCTTGGGACACACATATTAGATATATAGTACAGAAGGCCAAGACCAAGCCCCAACGTTTATATTGGGGTCTGGCCACCACATGGGGTTTTCATCCGATCATCGCCCGACGCATGATTGAGGCGACGATCCTCCCCATTCTGTTCTATGCATCTCCCGCTTGGTCATCTATTGTTCGTTTTCCATCCAAGTTAGCTCCCATCAATGCTGTACTTTGCCAAGCCGCCATCGCTATTATGGGCCTCTATCGGACGACATCACATGATGCCGCTCGATTTATTGCTGGCTTCATGCCCGCTGATTTATATATTCGACAGCATCTTGTCGAGTTCTACCTTCGACACCTGACCTACGGGCATGATATGCTTCAGTTGACTCCTTGCACACATGGAGTCAACAATACGATGGCGCCAGTTGATATTCTTCAATCTGAACTCGCAGCCCTTCCCACTCACCTTCCACTCCACATTCTTCAAAATGTTGAAAAGCGCTCTTGGTGGTACACTGACCCCACTTTTGATGATTCTTGCCTTTCCCCCTCTCTCTTTGATAGGGAAACGGCATTGGATTGTGTCCGCCATGCACGCGCTGCTTCTACACCTGACCACCTTTGGATATTCACAGACGGGTCACTAACTCCTCATCCCCATATGCACTCATGTGGCTCATCTGCTGTCTTTTTCAGAGGCACAGACACCATTGGTCATTCGACTGCTGTACGCTTCATGGGCTATCATTCCAGCACACACGCGGAATTGATTGCCCTACTCCTCGCCTGTCGTCATGCACCACAATTTGCCCCCTTTCGTCGGTGCACTATTGTCTGTGACCCCATGTCTGCCTTACAAGCCATACAGTGTCGACAAGGTGGCCACCAAATTGCAATCTCCACTCGCCAAGCCTTGTTGAACTTACATGCCTACAATTCTTGCCTTCGACTATGGTGGATCCCTGGACACATCGGCATTAGTGAACATGATGTTGCAGACTTTATAGCTCATCAGGCGGCCACTGATCCTGACCAATTTGAGCTCATCTCTGTCCCACATTCCCATAGGACATTGAAAACCTCAATTCGTCAGCACTATGTCTCTCGCCTTGAGGCATTGTGGCGTACTTCTGTTTGTGGTCGCCAGCTATACGCAGTCATGCCTCGGTTTTCACGCTCTTTGAATTGGACCCAAGACCTTTCACGCCGCGATGTGTCTCTAGTGGCTCAGTTCCTCACGGGCCACTATCCTACTAATGCATATCTCCATCGCTTCCACCTTATCGATGACCCCCATTGCACATGGTGTCACCATCCTCTTGATGACAGAAACCACCGACTTTTCAATTGCCCACGTTTTGCTTTTTTGCGGCAGCAGCTAACCAGTGAGATCCAACACTTGACATGTGGACATGGTGATTGGACTTGGGAGTTTCTCTCTGGACATGGTCGCCCCTTCTTGGCCAGGTTTCTACGGGCCACTCGACGTGCATGTACTGAACATTGAGAGAGGTTGTTTCTTTGTCTCGCCAGGGTTATGATCGATGCTGGGAATCAGACTGAGCAACGGACATGGGGTACATTGGGGGACGTTTCTGAACACTCTGGGATATTTGGGACATTACATGATGCACACTATCTGACATGACTTTTCACATTGGTGCTGAGGACTCCCCCACAGGAACATTATGTTTCTACGAACCTTCATGCTCTTCTCATCTCCTGGTTATGTTCCTGCATCGGCTTCTGCTGGAAAAGGATCTTTGTATACTTTACGCTTTGTGGGGGAGATCCTTTGTTTATCTTTTGATGTAATACATTGGAATTAAAAAAAAAAGCCCACTCACTCACCAATCACCCGCAATGCCATCGCATACGCTGCAAAAAAAAACACGCCTCCAACACCAGTACCTGACTATCTTATGCTATACGATGGCTCTCATGCTTCACAACAACGAGGACAACAAAGCAACAAGGACGATAATGATGGCAATTTTCATCCCCTGCATGATGAACAATGCCCACAATGGCACTCATGGTAGTGCTGCTACAGCTATTGTGATAGCCATCACTGTCTCTGATGCAGCCGATGCTGCTCACGTTCGTGTCGTCATGGAGATTGTGACAAGCATAGTGATGCGCACAGTGATGTTGATGGCGAGGCCATCAAAGACGGTCAAGAACTCCTCAACAAACTGACAGCATGGCACACGCCAGTCATGGTGATCATGATGGCAATGGTGATGGGGACGCTCAAGACCACGGAGAAGGGATTCATGGTCATTGTCGTTATGCGTTCCATGGCCGTGTCATGGCCAGACATGGGCGTGGGCTACATGTCGATAGTCGTCCGAATGGAATAAACAACAAACACCACGTGGAACACTTTCAATCTGTTACAAGCTTCAATTTTTGGCACATTTGCCACCCAAGAGATTACTGGACAGTTGCGTTCGGGAATCCAACGCTCTGAACACATTGCATCACTTTCTAAAACCATTGCAACACCGCAGCGACACCGAGGTCGCCTAGAAAAATGGCTGCATGATGCCTTCCGCGCCCTCCAACTATCCGCCGGGCTATTCCCTAGAACCGTGCCGCCGCTTGGCTGTCGGTGGGTTCTTGCTTGTGATAAATGGCGATTATTATAGATCCAGCGTGCGTCGATCGTGTTGTGGGTTTACCCTGCCGGGATGGCCCGCCGGCAGTGGAAGCGTGTGACGATGATGTGCACATCACACACGTGTGTGGACAATGAAAGGATACGTGGGCGGGCCAGATGAGCGTCATTATGTGTGTGATGGGTGACACTGCGTACGCGGCTATGTAAGGGCAGTCGTGTGTCAGGGGCGTTGACCCTGTTTTCTCACACTAGGTGCGCGTTTGCAGCACAGAGTTACCCGTCATAAGGATTCGCCCTGGCCGCGTAACATAAGGACATACGAAATCCGCGTGAGGTCCCAGCCCTCAAATGCTTCCGGCCCAGTGAACCCCCACCCCAAAAGGCGCTCTCCGTCCTCGTACAGACGCAGAGCGCGAGAGGAACCCACAGCGCCGATCTCCGCCCGCCTTTGGCCGTCGAGACTTTCCGCCAAGGGGGGTGTTCATCGTGCCAGCCATGAGCACCTCGGGCACGCATGCCGCCCTCTTCGCCCTGCTGGCCATCGCCTTGACAGCGACATGCGCCCAGACTCAGTCCACCGCTCTGGCCAAGCTGGAGGCCGCGCGAGCCCTCTGGGCGTCCAATGGCTCCTCAGACTACACGATGCGCTACCAGCTCACCTGCCACTGCCACCCCGACGATACGGATCCGTTCATAGTCACAGTGCAGGGCGGCGTCGTGATTGACGTGGTGGTAGAGGGGTCCAACCGACAACCGCCCCAGGACGTGATCAACACCATCCCGACGGTGGAGGGGATGTTTAACGAGATCGAGCGGGGGCTGTCGGCCGGCTACGCGCATGTGGGGGCGAGTTACGACCCGGCCACGGGCGCGCCCGTGACCGTTTACTTTGACTACAATGGACAGGCAGTGGACGATGAGGTGCATTACAGCGTCCGAATCCTGGACTTGGCGACGGGCGGCGGGCAAGCCCTCCCCGGCCCCTCCCCTCCCCTCTCGGCGACGGCGACGGACGGGCCCTCCCCTCCTCTCTCGGCGACGGCGACGGGCGGGCCCTCCCCTCCCCTCTCGGCGACGGCGACGGGCGGGCCCTCCCCTCCCCTCTCGGCGACGGCGACGGGCGAGCTGCTCCCCCAAAGCGAGGGAGGCGCGAAGGGAGATGAGGAGGAAGATGACGAGTAGTATACTACTCATCTCTATGTAGAGGTGGCCGGAGGGGCAGGGGGGCGTGGGTGGCGGAAGGGAGCTAGGGAGGTGTTGGCAGATGAAGGGTGCGCGTCGGTGTCTCGGGCGCTCTGGACTTGAGATGACCGAGTGACATGGAACGTGTTGGCGCTTGATTGGGAGGCGGCGGTTCCGGCAATTGGTTTCCGTCGTTTCGTTATCGAATATTAAAAATGGGATTTTCATGGCCGTTTTCCATCATGACCGAGAGGATGTGTGATTTGTGGCGTACCGTCCTGGGCACCTTTACGCGTTCTGGCTCCATTTCAGCAAGCCGAGAGCACAATACACAATGATTTCACGATTTGTTCCGTGACAAGTATTGTCAAGTGACAATCGTTGATGAGCCCTTGGCTGTGCTATATGATTCTGCTCCATCTAAACAAGTATATATGTACAAAGGAAAACGAAAGCAATAAGTCCATTTGTCACAATTTTTACGCCTTTCTAAGTAGTTCCATCACAAGTTTCACTTCCTCCGTCCGGAATTAAATGAAACAGTTTGTCGACTGACCACATTCTTATCGTGTTCTTTTTGCTTTTCCTTCAAAATTGGACCAGCGTATCTACAATGTGTTTAGTCAATGCTGTCCGAAAATTAAAGACAGAAAATAAGATCCAGACATGGTAGTACTGTGAAGCCAAACGAGTAAGCACCAGAATTTGAACATTCGCAGTCAGTCCCAGACCCACGAAGGCCCGGCGCACGAGTGATGCCCTTTCCAGTGGTCTTTAAAGTATCAGAAAGGGGGAGTTGCCTCGGCGCTCGAGCTCTAGCACAAAGATCGACAGCATTCGCAATGCACGATCGACCGAATTGGCACCTATGTCTGCGTACCGCCATCGATGGATGCTGGAAAATTCCCCAAAAAAAAGAAAAAAATTCTTCCACAGCAGCACACCGACATACGTGGGTCCCCCACTGCCTAGAGGTCTCCTGGTGGCTAAAGAAGAGCGGTGGGATATATGCGCCCAACATAAGCTTTGTGTTCTGCACAGATCTCCGAATATATTCGAATATATTCGGACTTAATAAGTGCCTTCCTGATGCAAGGAACCCCTCTTTCCAAACAGGCTTCCACCCTGCCAAACATGAGCGGTACAGAACATTGTTTCGTGGTCTTCCCTCTTTGCTAGGAATGGTGCCGACCTGCCACCAGGACGGCAGCAACAGATATTCATTTTGGGCTGTGCCGTCGGCCGCAAGGCGACCTGGTCAAGGACCTGTTCTGGGGGTTGTTCGGCCCGACTTTGAGAAACCTCGACTTTTTGGCCTGAATCACAAGGTTTCAAAGTACTGCCATGTGGCCGGTACTTGTCTATTGTCCGCAGAAATTTGCCAGCACATATAAAATGTGCAGGTAGTTTCTTGATCCATTTTTGAAGGAATACTAACAAATTTGTGATGCAAAAATACACATTGCTTGCGCAAACATGCTCGCTCGAGTGGTGCACATGCACACACACTTTTGCTGCAAATCGTGTGCCAATTCGCAGGAAGTTTGCAAACTTGCAAATGTGGCACCCTAAACCCCAGACCACATACCCACAACCACTTTCTTACAGGCGAGAGCGAGTGTCAAGGCTGTGCTCTAAGACGCCCGCCCTAAGGATATCAGCACACCTTTCTGAAGTGAAAGGTCATGGTGATCGACCCGATGGGTCGATCGCACCAAACAGAATTGACCTTTCCCTGCCCCCCCACCCCCCCACCCCACACCCCACCCCACCCCACCCCACACCACCCCACACCACCCCACACCACACCCCAACGCCATTCGCCCATTCGCTTCCAGTCGGAGGCCAAGGAGGCACCTCAAGGCGCTGCAGTAAGGCCGCCAAGCCTTATTGAAGTGAAAGTCCACGGCGATCGACCCGTTGGGTCAATCGCCAAGGACGCAATTTTCGAATTCAAACATCTCCCCTCCCCACCCACCCACCCACACACGCCCCCCACCCCCCCACCCACCACCTCCACCTTCCTGAACTGCCACTCGTTCTAGTCTATGGCCAAGAGGTGCCAAGAGGCACTTCAAAGCGGCCGCCCAACTTGGTCGAAGTGAAGATCGCAGGGTTGTGTCGATTGCCATCAACAGATTTTTCGATTTGGCCCCCGTCAAACCCCACTTCCCCTCGCCTTCTCCCCCACCCTCCCACCCACCTTGACTCGAGCCAATGCCATAGGCGATGGCAAACGCCACCGCCGGCCACTCGCCCAAGCGCCACCTGTGTTCACGCTACCCGTTGCGCCTCCCCTGTTTGCCAGTCAGTGGTCAAGTGTATGCACAACGCTTGTCGCGGAGCTCCCCACCCATGCTTTGTAACGCAAATGTCCCAACGGCTGCATGCGTAATGCAAAAAGTGACCACGCATGCATAGCGCGTGGCACCAAAAGTATCCCGGAACCCCCACCCACCCACCCACCCACCCACCGCCACCCCTTAGTCATGCCTATGTCCCGGCCAGCAGGCCGCGTGCACCGGCCGAGGAAACCCGGGGGAAGCCGGCGGGAGGCGGGGTTCCGCCCACACCGTGCCGCACACGTGCCGCAGGAGGCGCAAGGAAGTCGGGGAGGGCATGAGCAGCCGGTCGGCGGCCATGCTGCGCACTAAGCCGCACATGCGCCAGTCAAGGAAGCCCGGGATGGGCGGCATCTGCACGGCCGGCGCCCGCGGCGTGCGCCGTCTGCGCCCCGTTCGCTGGTACAGCAGCTGAGAGGCTCACCGGACATTACGGCAGCCGCGTAATGCTTGCACGCGTAATGCAAAAAAGTGACCACGCATGCACGGCGCGTGGCACCAGAAGTGTCCCGGACCCCCCCATCCTCACCGCCTTAGTCATGTCTAAGCTCCGGCTAGCAGGCCACGTGCGCCAGCTGAGGAAACCCGGGAAGCCGGCGGGAGGCGGGGTGCCGCCCACACCGCGCTGCGCGTGCGCATTGCACGCTGGTGCAGGGAGCCCAGGTACGGGCGTGAGTGGGCGGTCGGCGCGCATGCTGCGTACCGCGGGAGGCGCAAGGAAGTCGGGGAGGGTGCGAGTGGCCGGTCAGCGTCCGCACCGCGCGTTACCCGTGCACGGCGCTCGGCGCTAGGAAGCCTGAGGAGGGGGGCAGTGCGGTCAGCGGCGTGCGGTCGGCGGCGTGGGGTCGGCCAAAATCGCAATTTTGCTCTACAAAGCTTCGCTCGCTCGCAAATATGGCCTCTGGAAAAAAACTGTTTCATTTATTTCCGGAAGGAGGAAGTATTCGCTTGTTCTTCGCAGCCTGCATGGTACTCTGTGGAGGTGATATTTTTATTGAAGCTTCTTCATGGTGTACAACAAATTCAGTCCAGGAAGTTGGGTGTCCCAATGACGCACAGGAAAGAGCGAGCAAGACTGTCAAACGTGTTTGCCAGGAGCTCCATGCCATTGTTTTTGCCAACTAAATGCATTGCCATGCTTGGGCCGTTTTTCACTTTTCCCCTTCAGGAATTTGCTATGCGGCCGCAAAACTGCGTCCCGAGTTGGCGCAACTGCAGCTGCCAGGCGGCGCCTTCTCAAGCTGACTGGGTGCCCCGCGTGGCCTTCATTTGCACCCTCATTTGTTGGTGTGGTCGTATGGTGCCCTCGAGATTGTCTATCGTCATCAGTTGGGCGGTACAGAACAGTGCATAATGGCTTAGAACAGTGGGTATCTTCAGAGATCTCCATAGCCGTCAGTGTGAGTGCATATCTGGATCAATTCTTCAGTGTAGTCGCTCCACTTTCTTGGCCTTTCTTGGGGACGATGGCTATGCATTTCGCTGTGTTTCCAGTACTGTAATTATTTACAATAATGTTCCTTCTATGGTGCTTCCTGAGTGGCCTTCCGGTTTCGGAGCCCCTTCCATTGTTTTTCTGTGATGTTGCGGCTTCCTCAGATATCGTGGTAATCGTATTGTTACGTATTTGAGTAGTTTATTTCGTTGCACATCTTTGGCAGCTCCTTTCCTTCCGCGGCGACTTGAAAGTCTCAAATTTGGGCTTCGTTTCGCCATCTTTTCCCGTCCCTTTTGCCATGCCAAGATGCCCTCAAGGCTTCATTTGTGACGTCTGCCTTTCTGATGTTTCCTGCCATCACTCCTCACTTTTTTTTACTATTTTTATCTCCTCTCTTTTTATTTGCTAGCGCGACCCGTTCAGACATGGAATACTAAGCGCCGCGCTGGGTGCGGGGATTCAAGAGCGATATTGGAAGCTGGCCGCGCGATGCCTTCCTCCATGTGACAGACCACTCACCTTGCCCCAAGAGCAAGCGGAGTGAAAGGGCAAATCCGCGGGACAGCGGGCGCAGTGCGGCAACAATAATGCGTGCCGCGAACAGGGGTGAGTGCGCGCCATGCCAGCATCGTCAAACTGCGGCTTGCACCGCGTGCTGATGGCGTGACATTAGTAGCAGGCTTGGTTTTTACGTTTACGTTTACTTTTTTTACTTTTACGTTTTTACACGTAAAAACGTAAATTTGCAAAGTGGCCAATTTTTACGGCTATTCTTACGTTTTTACGGCTCCCTGGCACACGTAGTTTACACGATGAAAGTTGCATACAATGATCAGTCCTCTGCCATCTCCATCACCCGGAGCACAATGTCCATCTCGCCTGTGGCAAGGGCGATAATGGCGTTTTGCAAAAACTCGTTTTCTGCCTCTTCCAAGGCGTCTGGCTGCCACTCTCCGGACTCTGTAAATCTATATGTACTGCCCTTATGTACACCAGGCAGTTTTTACGTTGTATTTAAGTATTTTTACGCATTTTTACGCGTAAAAACGTAAATACGATCAGTTTCTACGGCGTAAAGCCCAAGCCTGATTGGTAGACCTGCGACAGAAACGTGCTTGGACTGGACGACGCTGCGCTGGCGGCACGACGCTCACCACACCATTGGCATGCCTGTGCTAAGATAAGAGGTGCAAATGTTCTGTGAGCACCGTTGTTGGCTT